TTACCTTCTTATCGAATTTTGGAAAATTATTTTCACGCCTGATGCTTTGTTTCAATTTTCCCCAAATCAACTCGATGGGATTGATTGAAAACACAAAAATAGGAGGGAAGTCTCAGTATGGTGTGTCCATAGTATTCAACTTCTTTCTTATTTCAGTTGTAGGAATCTCATTGCTTTTGTAACAGTCGTATATTGTTTTTTTTAATGATTTTATCAGATGAACATCTGAAGGTTTTGGTAATCCTGTATCACATTGTGTTTTGCGTTCATAAGGTTTGTTTTGACTATTTTACGTACAGTTGAGAAAGAGATTTCAGTTAAATCTAATGTTGCTTATAATTGTTTCTTTCCCTCGAAACCAAACTTGAGATGTAGATGTAGATATCCTACTACAGGACACAACAGCGATACTATCCCCACATTATATTCTTCACCGTAACATGACTTCAAATTTAATTTTATGACTCTTCAGCCAATCATAAAACTTGGTTAGTAAAAATTATCCAATACGAACCGCCAACTCATCAGTCCACGTGGAATAATTGGCAGCGGCATCATTTCTTTGTATTGGTTTGTTTAGCCTTTGAGATGCCAATATCTTCAACTATTCACAATACAGGTTACTTTGTGATTAGAAGTCCTAATTGCTGTGAAATTCTATTTCAAATTCAAATTTTATCACATAATGTATATGGTAGTAGTTCAAATTAAGTAGATCACCAAAGCCGATTCTGGGACACCAGCCAATGAGAGAGCGGTATAGTTTGGTGTTGCGCAGTTACACTTTGCGCAGTATGGCTTGGTTCGGCGTACTATGTATCAGTTTCGCTCGAATCGTTATCTTTCAAGGTCACACGTACAATGTAAAATTGATCTATTGAAAACTCTTTTTCACACCAGAGACATTTCCAAATTGTGTACTCTGTTTTTTCGGTGATCTCTCCTGAATGGTGTGACTCAACACCTTTAGATTTCTTTTAATGGGATTTTTTGAAGTCGAAGGAGTATTTCAACAAACCCACACCCAATTGTGCATTGAAAAAGGAAATTCAACCACATTTATACAAAATGGGCATGGAAAATTTCAATAAAAGTGTGTGTGTGTGTGTGTATGTCATCAAAGTCGTAGAGGCCATTTGCCCGATGTGTTATTCCATAAATAACTGTAACCTATTCACTTTGTAATTGAATACAAAAATAACAATAAAATACTAAATACTGTTGGATACTTTTTATAAAAACATGCAATAATGTATCTTCACTTGTGATGCACGTTTTGAAACCTTTGTTGTAGTAATGAATCTTACTGGAGTTTGTTTCTAACACCAAACCGTTATTTTTTTAACACCTCGACACGTGTTTCGATCACCAAGTGATCGTCTTCAAGAGGAAGATCAAAACTCATCTCATTGATCTTTCTCTTGAAGATGATCACTTGATGATCGAAACACGTGTCGAGGTGTTAAAATAACGGTTTGGTATTGGCATAAAATTCCAGTAATAATATATCTTCAGTTCGTTATACTGATTTTTTTTCAATTTTCAGAAAGGTGCCAAGTTGATACTGAATACCAGAGAAGAGTCTGATGTAGACAGAATCTCATCAGAATGTGAGGAAGCAAATCTGAAATGTTCCAGGTATTATCACCATATAAATGCATGGTAATTATTTCATTTTGTTTTATTGAATTATTCAAACTGAATTCAACTTAACGTTTTTCTAAATTTATAAAAATCGAATTATACACTGTTGAAATTTCGATAAACTCTTCGTCAAACATCAATTGTGGTCCAAAATATAAAATCTCTGTAAGTTATATGCAGTTGTCCTTGGGGTTGTCCTTGAATTTGATCTAATTCAAAATGAATTTACCATTTTCACTGAAAATGAAATCACTTTCCTTCAGATTATACCCCAATGTGGAGTTCCGCGAAGAATATAGAAAATTTTTTCACCATAATCCATAAACCATCTAGGAAAGCACCTCAACAATGTAACCACAATCCTGGTTACATTCACAGGATCCAATGTATAAATTTCAGAAACGGAACTTATGAGAAGAAGAAACAGGAACCAATGAAAATATCTGGGAATTACATGAAGTACAAAAGTAACTCAATATTGAAGAATGAAAATAAATGATCTCCGAAACTATGCAGTGCGATGTTGTGGCATAGTTAATTTGTTTTTATGTCTAAAGTTTCTTGAATGAATATTTTCAGGCAGAATTAGTTTTTGTATTAAAAGGGAAGAATGGGGAAGGGTAATCAATTTTTGAACAAAACAACCCAAATGATGAATCATACGGTTTTTCATATTGAGCCAGCGGGAGTTTTTAAGGGCTTCAGAAATTGAACCATACTTACGAAGTCCATAAATTAGGCGGCAACAAAAATTTTGCACTTTTTGTATACTTTTTTATCTGAATCATAAAAGTATGGCCCATATATGAATTCACAGTAGTTGAAATGGCTTAGCACCAAATTATCATAGAGCATTCTTTTTAGAGGTTGGCTCAAAATAAAACGATTACAGTATAACATTTCAATGACATATAAGCTTTTTTCATTAGATTTTTAACATGACTAGTGAATCTAAGATCAGTGTCAAGCATCACCCCCAAGTTTTTAGCTGTATTGACAGGAGTCAAGATACTATGACCTAGTTCTAAATGAAAATTGTTTTCTGCAAATTTACAATTCTTCTGTGATCCAAAATACATCATCATTGTTTCATTAGGATCAACTTTCAAATCAGGTTCACTTAATAGCCCATTGATCAAATCAAGATCAGTGTTGAAGAGATTTTGTGCCTCAGCATACTCATCGATTTTAAAGTGCATGTATAATTGTTTATCATCAGCATACGCCTGTATTTTACATTTCTTGATGGACGAGGTAATGTCAGTAGTATAAATGATGAACAATAAAGGTCTCAAAATGGAACCCTGTGGTACTCCTGATAGAATATTAAGTGGTAAGAAGTGATGACCATCAACAAAAACTTTTCAAGATCGACCAAGTAAATAAGACCAGATGAAAGATAAGGCAGCACTATTAAAACCATAGTATTTGAGTTTCATGCAAATCAGCTCATGATTGATGGTATCGAATGCTTTCGAAAAATCTAATAGTAACAGAGTGCTAATTATTCTCTTATCAAATCCCTCAACAATGTTTTGTGTAACAGGAGCTAGAGCTGTAGCCCTACTGTAAAACCCTGCCTAAAACCACATTGCAATAGCGATAACAGATTATTGGTATTGAAATATTCATTAATTTGTAGATAACTCTTTCAAAAATGTTACTCATTATTTGGTTAGGAAGTATTCATATTGTGTGTATTACAAAAGATATGATGAATGTTGAATGTTGCATCATTTTTATGTCGGATTCATTTGTTAAAAAAACGTACTATAAATGAAATGTATGGTCAAGTACGGTATTACATTTTTTTGGCTATTATCACAAGTATTTTGACGATCGCCCATACACCCCTTTTTAAAAATTTTCAGCAGTCATTCCCCAGAAGTACTCAACCACAAAAACCACAACGATCAACCAAAGAAGACCGTCACCCCAACGAGATCTCTCCGTTCCAACATCAACTATTCCTTCGCCCACGTCCATGAGCCACTATCTTCCTCCAGACAAGCAAGCCTATACAGGGCGTCCTTTCCCCTGCGCACAAGACCTGAATCTCTGAATCTGGATGCCTCCATGCTGAATTTTGAGCCTGCTTCCAGGGTATGACAATTTTGTAACGTAATAAAGATCCTAACCTTTGCACCGTTTTAAAAAATCAACATCTATCAGATGCTTTCAAAACCGATATAACATAACAATATAAAAACTGTTGTATATCATGTAAATTCAGTGTCCAAAAGGACATATTCGCAGCAGCCACCTTCCACATATCTCAGGTGTACTCGACTGCATCACAGAAGAATAGTTCGAAATCCGCTGTTCTAGGTTAGGTTAAGTCCACCGCAACCCGCAAGGGTTTATTGTGGCTTACAACTATTCAAACCCGACCAAATAAATAATCCAGTCATTTAAGCTTAAATTAGGTAAGAATCTCGGAATTCGAGATACCCAGCTGTAAGTCTGTAAATACTTGTATATTGACACCCTAAAAGTTGTCTCAGAACCTACATATGGTAGGGTGTAAGCAACTATTAAATTTCAAGGTCAAAGGTCACAAAAATCTATTTTTTTCGCTTTTTTTGGAAATATCTCATTTCCTATGGGTTTTTTGCTATTTGTATT